TGGTATACCGGAAATAATAAATGAGGAAGGACAGCTCTGACTTGGGGTATTGATGGCTTTCCAAAACTTTGACGGCTTGTCTTTCATGAACCACGACAAAGTATTATCAAAATAGAGGCTTTTCGCTCTTGACATAGCAGATTTTAAACTACTTTTCAGTTTAGGTAGCAGATATGATTGTATTGGATTGCCAGATTTGGAATGTTTACGTAGACGCCTGATACGGCGAATCAGATGTATAATGTCGTGAGTGTACCAAGGATGCTTGGGATTGCGTTTTATACACTTTGTTGGAATGTAATTAGCAATACATCGGCCAACAATTCCATTAAAGCGGTTCACTAGTACATCGACATGATAACGGCTGGCACTGTTTAAAAACTCATCAAAAGAGGATGCAAGTATCCCGATTATGGAGTTATCATCAGCATGCTCGTAGTTCACAACAGTCTGGTGTAAAAGAAGGTTAGGTACAGTCATTAAGTTAAAATCAGCTACAACACCCTTGTGATCCGACAGGCCTTTGACAATCTCACAATGATGGCCATATTCTTTAATATGCTTAATAATGAAAACAAGATCAAGAATTGCATTTTCGCGGGTTGCAGAAGAAACAATTTGCGTCAGGTCTAAAGAAATAGTTAAGTAAATCAAATAGTCACAGGTGAGCTTGTGTTGGCCATGTGCTGATAGAGTTTTCTAGTCTATAGCGGGGGTATTGAAGTCCCCAGTGATTAACATTTTGCAACCATTTAATTTTTGTTTGACTATATAATCCATGAGATCAGAAAAGATACCAAAACCTGCATCAGGTGGACGATAGGCAGCTCCAAAAGCCAGCGTGAGACCACAAATCCTAATTTTACACCAAATAGATTAACAGTTGGTTACATCGGGGAGTACAGCGAATTCAATGTATTTTTTCACAAAGAGCGCAACGCCACCACCACGACGGCCACATCTATCTTTTCTCAGAATATTGTAACCTGGTGGTAAAATTTCTGAGTCCATGATATGTTCATTAAGCCAAGTTTCTGTTACGCATATTACAGAAGGATGATAGCATGCAACGAAGTGATGAAAGTCGTGAATCTTGTTACTAATGCTACGGGCATTAATATTCGCTAAAGAAAAGTTATCGGAGCAGAGTCAGGTTCCAGGAGGCTGAGAAGATTGCTTCTTGGCTTGAGTGATAGAGTCGCCCGCTTCGCTTAACACATAACGTGCGTTATCTATCAGCAAGGAATACTGGCAGACAAGAGAAGGTGGTATTTTTTCTTTGGTTAGCTGAAGGTTTTCAAAGGGCACTGCGTACCTTTCTAACGCGCTCTGAGAAGTCCTCGTTTACATATATTTGTGTTTCTTTCAACTTTCTGGCATTCTTTAAAACAGCAAGTTTAGATCTGTAATCCAAAAATTTAAATATAGCAGGGCGGGGCTTTTCCCCTCTACGCGCTCCCAGTCTGTGCCATCGTTCGATGTAGGTACATTCAAGACCAAGTTGATGAGACAGTAGGCTCGTGAACAATTCAAGCAGCTGTCCAGGAGACTCAGAATGGTTGATTGATGATTGATATGTGGGGTTTAACGTCCCAAAACCATATTTGATTATGAGAGACGCCGTAGTGGATGGCTCCGGAAATTTAGACTCAGAATGGTGTTCAGGCAGTTCGTAGACAATAATATTATTTCTACGGGACCTGTTTTCAAGTTCATCAGAATGGTTGTCTAACTTCGATACCAAGTTAACAAGATGAGTTACAGTTTTTTCAAGTTGTTCAACACGTGGAATTGCTTCCTTGGCTGATAATACCGTGGCCTCAAGCATATTTAGCCTTTCTTCGATGGAAGCGAACTTGGCTGTCCACGAAGAGAGCTCAGAACGGATTTTTTTCTTGTCCCTCGAGCAGCTGCGACAGTTTTTAGTTTAACTTGTCAGGGCCAGGATTGCTCTCAACATCGCCGGATAATAGCAACAAAATTCTACTGACAGAGAAGAACGATAATGCCGCCATAAGTGGGTCAGGCAGCAGCACTAAACTATCGATCATCATTCCTATAGCAAGATAAGTCGTATTTTGTCCCTATCTGTAAGACAGTGCAGACAAGCTTGAACCAAGTGCACATTGTGCCGCCGCAAGACCCACTGAGGAGCGTAGCATTCACTGTCGGCTTTAGAGCAGGCCAGAAGTGGCCAGCTGGGGACGCTGACGTAGCACACCATGCGCAGATGGGCTCCCAAGTGTCCAAGTCACGCAAGTCGGGTGACTGAGTCCATATAGATGATACGAATCCCGTATCAGACCATACGATCCGAGGGGGGGGGGGGGGGACGAGAAGCGGATGGCCTTAAGCCATCGAGCAATCCGTGCACTCTCTCGCCAAGTACAAGTAAACAACATTCCAGGTGCACCACATCAATGAAACCACGCATTAATCGATGCATGCAATGTTTAAAAATGTGCCTCAAATGTCTTCCCCTATCTAACGCGACCAGTTACCTTACATTTTAATGAAGCTGCGCTGCTACTTAACTAATTCGGTGCAATCGAGCAGAATATAGTGGTGAACGTAAGGGTGTTTCGTACCTATAGTACAAGGTAGCCTTTGTTACAATATTATTATTACAAGACAGAGGAGCGACTTTTGTGCCTGCAGACTAATTGTGCGGAAATAGATAACAGCAGTAATCAAATGAAATCGTGAGTGGAATTTGGCTTGTTCCATGCACCGCAGCATTTTTATAAAGCCGGAATGCGAGAACGTGCATACGCTCACGCTTAGGTACGTGTCTACGTAAAACGAGGGAGACTCGTCGGGAGGTGTTTCAGTCTAATGCTTTTCACATAACACGGTGCAAATATTTCGTCCAGCGTTGTTTGAGTGAGCAAACAAAGCAAGGGACGTGTATACGAGTCTTTCAAGTCTAGAAACGTTTTCACACGTGCGAAAATGACGAAAAAAAAAATGAGAGAGAGACTATAGTTCCGGCTACGCGAAAGCTTGAAATCGATAGATAATAAAGACAATTTTCTGGCCCAACAGACATCAGGGAAAGTTTCCGCAAAGCAGCGTCGGATTCTTGGAGAGCATAAAAAAGTGGAACGCGTTTTATGCGAGTGACAGCCACACAGAAAGTGAGATGAAGTGTGACTGTCTTTAGATGTGATAATCAATGCTAATTAGGAGAGTTGTGAGTTCTTGAGCCAAATCTTCCTTAAATAACGGTAATGGAAACAAACTGAGTATTCATCTAGTGAAAGTGACACTAGTGACAGTGAATTAATATTAGTTGATTAGCGTTGTCACAGGCCGATATATATTTTTACTTTTTATTCATATTTGGCAAACTATGAGTAGGTAGCCTACGTTAGAGCCGGCTATCCCAACGTCATTACAGTAATGTACAAGGTAAATAGTGCACGGTTATACAGCCACACGTGGCGGTTTCTATCTGGTAGTAACCTTGGGCAAACGCATCCTAACTATTTTTTTTCTATTTTTGACCAAGCTTAACCGGACGTTTTTGCATTTGGCGTCATTCGAAGGAATGGCAATATATCAGCAATAGGGCGAACGCAAGCACTGTTGCAGTGGGCGAACGGTTACAGCGCTCAGCTACAATCTAGAAGGTACTTGGTTCGATTCACATAGTCACCGAGCACTTTTTTTTTTCAAGAGGTTGCCCGGCCTGACATTATGCGTGGTGGCAGGTACTGAGTTTTTGAGAAGGTGGCTGTCGCACTTGCTTCTTTTGCTCCCTTTTTGACACAAAAGCACTGTACCGTGCTCCTTCATAAATTACATAATTCAGGGTTCATAATTTTCCCCTCCATCCTCTCTTATTGCTAAAGTGTCCAGTGCTGAAGTACCAATATCATACCTGGTATATTATTTTTCACGTGTTTGGATATTCGACCAGCGATCAGTCGTCACGGTGTTTTGAAGAAAATCTACACATGCAACGAGCTAACTGCTTGCGGCCAAGTTGACTGTCTTTGTCGGGACACGCTTTCGTGCTAATTTTGCGGGCATCATTACATACAGCAAGTCCAAAAAGCACGGACAGTTAGAGCAGACACAAACAGAGCGATTAGTTTGTGTCTTCTCTCCCGCTATCTGTCATGCTGCGCGCTTCTGTGTAATGGCGCTGTCAATGGTTAAAATAAACTACAGCAGCTAATCGAGTTCTGCTGAGAGGGCCCCCTATTGTCCAAAATGGAACAGAACAATGGCAATTTGATTTGTGTCATACGGAGATACTCTGCTTTTGGTTACTAGAATAGATTTATAAACCGAAGTTTATTTTTCATTAACAACAGTTCCAGTACAGAAGAAAGGTGCATGGACAATATTCGTGTATTCAGCTTGACTATAAGTTTGTGACCTTAATTGTAATTGCCAACCGGTATAACAATATGCATAAATATCACATACATATACAACCACGGGTGATAGCTTGCTTATTCTGTTTAAAATTGATATGTTGAAATCGACATATTCGACCAACACAATGTGTACAAGATATGCCATGTAGAGTAGCTATGCTCTAAACTCATCTTTGCAGGTTCGTTCCATTTTACCCAATTTTTCGCCCATGTTTGTAGGTTGGCAAATGAAACAACTTCTTCGAACAGACATATTTTGTGTAAGGTTACATTTATTTTTATGCAGTACAAAACAAATTGAAATGTATAATGGCTCAGAAGAAAAAGAACTAGAAACAATAGTTCAGCCAAATCATTACCAAACTTGCTCACCAATGATAAACAGATTCCTATTTAAAATATACATACATGCATACATACACACACACGCATACATACATATGTACACACACACACGCACGCACATACATACATAATTACATACATACATACATACATACATACATACATACATACATAGGCACTGCGCACAAGGCGTGGTATATGGGACTCCCCTAGGCTGTGGCAAGTTCTATATCGGTCAAACGGGGCGTTGCATTAATGACACACTAAGGGAGCATGCCAATAGTTTAGGCAAAAGCGAGCATGCGCATCTTCCAGTGCATTGTAAAGCCTGTGGATGTGTGCCATTGTTTGAAAAAACGGTGATTCTTGGTAGGAGCAAAAAATAAACAGCTCTTGGAAGCCTACTTTATCAAAAAAAAGGGGCCCGACTGTATCAGTGATACATCTATTGTGTTGTACCCAACAGAAATGCATTTTTTGGATAACTTAGTGCCTTGTTCATGACGCTGTGCGATGTTTGTTGGCTGTGAACGCATGCGCGGTTTTGTGTTCCTTCCAGTGCGTTTTCTAGACGGTCATTAAACAGTTGGTAGTTGGCGCTGTTCTGTCTTTTCTCCTGCTCTTCCTGCTTCACGTCATGTTTTTTGCGCCTCAGTCTTCTGCACCAAGTATGCACCAACTAGCCCAAAAACAAGTCCTTCTGGAATACATACCTGCACTCAAGTGTAAATATTAAAATGAATGGCTATAAAACAACAATTCTAATACACTCATCTTGAACATACAGAATGTAACTTACCAGAGGAATCCACCAGCAGTGTTATATATGAACACGGTGTTTCTCGAATTATCTCTCAAAAGCTTGATGCATAGTTTCTGCTGTTCAGTGACAAGCAGTTTTTATAAGAAACACAAGAATAAAGCCCATGAAAATGTCATGCTAAAGAAAAGGACTGTGCATCAATAATTTGTAAATGTCTGCCATATCACTCTGTTTATTTAAATAGCATGGCTCATTCACAACACACTAACAAAGCATGTAAGGACACTTGGGCTGAAATTTGGCACAGTGCAAAGAAATTCTGACAACACATGAATAATACAAATATAGGCTACTAAGCTCCTTGGTGCGAACAGTGTTTATATTGACAGCTATAGGCGCCATTTTGTTTCCCGAAAACACTTCTCAAAAGTAGAATCAACTTTATTTAGCTAAAAGTTTCTTGCCTGGTGCGTAGCGGTGGTTCAACGAGGGAAGTGACCCTTTCGGCCAAGAAAACAAAGACCAATTATTTTTCCAGTTCGAGAATCACCCAACGCTAACATTGAGGCAGCTGGTAGGAGTGGTTTTGGAGAGAGGAAACCACCACATTCCCACCAGTTGTGGCTTTGGGCAGCTAGTTCACTTGGACAAAAATGATGAAAAACACTGCTCAAGAAGACTTCAAAGTTTGCACATCAACACAGTTTCCATACAGCTGTCTTTTAGTCTGCTTGAAAAATATTCAGTTCACTGGTGGGCAAAGACTGTACACTAATTATGTGAGGCGATGCTCTAGTGCACTGCATGTAGGTCATGCTGCTGGCCTCAACTGCGATCTTGTTCAGCACATATGTGTAAAATAACAAGTAATACTATGCCACTGTGAAGTAATTATGTGTCATTTGCATGAAACAGAGACAACAATGAAAGAACATAAGAACAATTACCTTCACAGAGTTAGAAAAATGTAAATACATTTCCATAGGGTTTTCACAGCTCATCTGAGCATAGTATTGATGGTTATAAACACATTATTGCTTCTCTAACAAAGTATTTTAAGATGCCAGCTTCAATATTAGAGTATACCTGTACCTTTGTAGGGCTAAACAATTGTACAGACACCTAGAAAAAGATAAGTAAATGCATACTATAGCTATATATAAATTAATTAAATACTGTTATTTCTAGTCTAAATGAAGCTGGATGGATGATAAGTCACTTGCATAGTACACAATTATAACATGAACAAACCTATCTGAGCAAAGTATACATTAAAAAAGTTTAACTTACACACTAGAAACAGAGAAGTAGACTGTTGAAAGATGGACAGGCAGTGAGATAACAATAAACAAGCACTAAAATCTACTGTTAAGATATACAAGAGTAATGATGATCCTCGTCCTTCCAAATAAAACAATTCACATAGATTCACTTCCCAGAGCTTACACACTCATGGCATCATTGGTGCTGTACAAATGAGTGTACACTGAAGGATTACATCGGCTGAGTACATGATTACCGCATCCATGGCTTTACTTCTTGTACTACAAAGAATGCAAACACAGTTACCATTGCCGACCATAGATGCTGTGATTTATGACAGGTAAATGCAAAGATATGCAGGGACTTAACACGCATGTTAAAAACTTCAGCTCAAAAATATTTGCCCACCAACACTACAGCAGCCTTTAATTTACTGTCATAGTTTGGTATTTTCCATGCAAAATTTAAATAATTTGGAATGCAAGCAAAGGAACTGAATGCTGAATAATGCACTGCTAAGAAGTTAAGCTGCAGCTGCACAGAATGTTACTACGTATACAATTCAAACTGCTCCTGACATCCAATGTGCTCTTTCTGCTGCCGTAAATTTTGAGCAGGAGAACAGTCACTGGCAGTCCCATTGTACTTGTTGGTCTTCCGTGCTCTGTTTTTGATACACTGTACATGACTGTCATACACTGTACATCCCTTGTTAGTGCTAGAACTTAGAAAAATACAGGTCATTGTTACAACCATGCTACATGCAAGAGTGGAAAGTTGTTTAATATGTGCTCATATTTACAGATGTCGTATTTTCAGAAGTCAATGACAGGCCTCAACACACACACAAACAGTGAAGACCAAAAATATATTTTATTATGATACAAGAGCAAAACTACAATGTTATAGATGAAGGCATGAAACTTCTGCAAGGTATATAAAGCCAATAAAGTTTCTTCTATTTTGACTTTACACTAGGTGCAAGAAGCAGACCGCAAATAAGTTCACTAAGAAACACAAGTTAGACTGCATTACAACACAACAGCCAATGTTCATAACTTTAAGGCTGTATAACATAGTCAGCTCACCGTACCACGTATAGGAACAATAGGGCAGTCTAGGAGACAAACACTTGATGGTTATGAGTGTGCTTCTTACTGACATCTATTATTCCAAACGAAGAAATCCTTTCAAAAATGCACTTCATCAGGGGAAATAATCATACGCAACAAACACAACGGGCTCCTACAGGTGCCACTAACACTCGCCATTATTGTTGATACCAGTGCATTGCCAGATGGATATGCTGCGTTCTGCACAGAACACCAAAGGAGCGCTCCATGACTTGGCTTGCATGTGTGCTGGCTGCATCGCACTGCTGCTGAAGTAGGCTAGCCATAGACGGAGACATGAGGACCAAGGCTTTGAAACACACTGAACGTCACCTTTAGAGATCAACAATGCATACTTAGGTCAGGTACAATTTGCAGAAAAATATATATCACTATGCAATCGTGGTGAACACGTTGGGCTGAAACACAACAAGCCACAGCACTGAGAGAGAAAAAGCTACATGAAGTAAAAGATGCAGTTGCTGGCCCTATGTCGTCTGAGGCTTGTTACATAGGTCTTTCTTCTTGCAAGTTGTGAACAGCCACGCGATTTTAACCCACTTGCTATTTCCTTCCAGAGCACTTGATCCACAGAGGGAGTCACAAGTTCGAGAGCTCAATAAGGAACCAAAGTATTTGTGCTCGTTTAACAGCACAAGCTTTTGAGTTTCAGATGATTGGAGTTTCATTCATAAGTTGCAGACTTTAAAATTTCAACATTTTCAATTATCTTGCAGTTTAGTTCTATAAATGTTGAGTAAGAATTATGTGTGAGAGTAATACAGGTATCCACTGCAAGCAACCATGCTTGGGTTTTCGATTTGTGCGCAGTAAGTGGTGTTCACTTAATCATATGTATTAAAGAAAAACTTACTTTGCAGCCAGCTCTTAGGCAGTTTTATGCCCTCGAAGCTCCCAAGCAGATCGCAGTCCTTCCAGATGAAACTGCCATGCATGGTTCCAGGCCACATATGCTGAATGATAACAGTCCCAGCAGTGACATAGACTTGCACAGTTAGGGAGCACGTGCCCTTTCTATTTTTGTTTAGGTGCTCCAAGTCATGATGAGGATTGATGTGCCAGTGTCTGCAACCGATGCATCACAGGACCTTAAGAAACCAATCTCTGCAATCTAAGAGCCAAAAACGAGATACTTAAAAACAATCATTAAAAGCACTCACTTCTAATACTTATTTGACGAAGCTATCACTTCGTCAAAGTGACCAAAATCTGCTATAATCACTTTTGAATAAACTGAAGCCTTATGTAAAACTTACATACCGGAATATAGATGTCCTAGTGAAGTATAGTGCTCCCACAGTGGTAATGGTCTATGGAACTAATTTTCCAAAATAAAAAATTTCTTAAGTGCAACCTGGCTCCTGGAAAATAAATTCACATTAACTTTCCAACTATCCAACGTGGTAAATCCACAGGCCCAACCTCATAATCAAACAAGAGCTCACTTGTATCAAATCACAAAAAACTTCTGATGTATTTGCTCGATAATATATGTATGCATATAACAGTAGTAGTAAATTTTTCATGCTTAAACTTACCATAGAGAAACATTACATCTGATGGGCTTAAAAACTTGCACACGCTATAGTACTGTGGGATTTATAGTACCGGTGAAATTTAGTTCTGCAAGGTCAACTCACCGATGGCAGCATTTAGTAGCCTTCTGTGTCATGAGGAATCAAGTGTGCTCTACGGCCAACAGGCAAAGAGCATCTGCAGACTGGAAGCTGCCGATGATAGCAATGAAGGGCTGGCCTGGCGTGTACCTGTAAGAACTGGCCATGACCAGCAGTTGTCAAGGCTCTAGTGCCGTGCAAAATGTTGGCCAGATGAACTCGGAAAACTGTAGTTAGGCGGTATTGGCCTACGACTTCGTCTAAAGCTGGGCACCGGAGAAATATTTGCTCTTTCTGGGGGCCGGAGGGAAGCTTGACGTTCACGGGCTCTCGCTGCCACATAGAACTCTCAAGTTTTTACCGAAGAACAGTCTAGGCGCGCTGCCAAAGTAACACAATCCACAACAGAATGTAGCATCTCGCAGCTTTGGTTGATCACATCACAGCGCTATGACTATGGTTATCACAAAAAGGAGAAGTGACGAGTTAACAAGCAAAAGCGCCAAGCTCCACCACCGCAACTTAGCAGTGCAAAACAGTTATCAACGCTGTCTTTCAATTTTCGGTCACACGAGCACAGCTTCTTCACAAGTCTTGGAATGTCAACACAGCACCACTGTTCACAACGAACATCATTTCACTCTCGAACACTAGATTGCTCACAAGAAAATAGAAGCGTATGGGCTAACCAATGGCGAAGCAAGAATCGGACTCAGCGAGCAGTTCATACGTTTCCGTACGTACTTGGGGTCACTGAAGTAACGTGCCAAAACACTGTCAATCCGAAATGTCGCACAGCTCCCAACAAAGAGACTGGAAAGTCAAGCGAACGAACTGTTACCGGCACACAAACACACATTGCAGGCTTGTCGAGAGCAAGTTGCCGTCGAGTGCAAGTTGCCGTCGATACACCGGCGCCGATCCCCGCTTGATAACCACACTGTCGCACAGGCTTCGCTGCGCTTCACCGTACACCATTGCACTGTCGCAGCTTTCCCCACTGCTAACACGCACCGAAAGAGCTGCCGTAATCACAACGCATCCGATCGATCGCTGAAGTAACTCATGCGAGAAGCGTTTGCTGAAAGTCGCACCGACCGATATGCTGTTTACGACGCCATGTTGTTTTCGACAACTGCGCAGCACATAAGAGAGCTCTTAGAAAGTACTTGCGCAATTTTCACGGCGTGACAAAATTTGCTATTATGTGCGACGGGGCTGATTGACGAACACGAGAGGCGTGCCAGATGAAAGAAGTGTTTTGGCAACGTCACGGATTGAGCTGATGTTGAGGGTATTGCTTCACAACCAATCACAAGCTGTGCCTGTCGGCCAAGCCGTCGTCTGCTCGCGTTTGTCGTCTGCTTCGATCAGAGCATGCGACAGAGGATTCGCCTTCGCAACGCTATTATTCTCAGGTCAAGTGGTCGCTGCGTCGCACAAAATACATGTCAATGGCTCGCTCTGCCTTTGAATGATGTTCGTGCGCCAAGTTAAACGGCTGGTCATTGTTGCATGTCATTGTTGTATTCAGCCAAGGTTTGCTCCAGAATCGTGAGGGTTTGCATATTTCCGGTGTCATAAAAAGTTACAAGGGTCATTTTATTCTGACTGCTTGTGATATCATCACGGTCCATATCAGTTTCGGAACAGTGAAGGTGAAAATGCATGATTTGATTGTAGTTCCATGCATATATAATCATGCACACCCCTAATACGCTTCGGTTTACAAAGTACGCACCGTTCCAGGTCGTCCCAAAGTGTATTGACAGCTGTATTTCAGATATCACACCCATTGGACAGTTAGAGCCAATGGAAGTACACTAGAGCACAAGCTTTATGAACCACTCACTTAAAAGTTTTTCGCATTTTTATTTCCAAACACGGGCAAGGAAAGTGCTCCCATTAACCTCTTTGGTGGTGATTTCCACCAATGAGGCAAGGATCTCGAGTCGCACTTTTAATTGGATGAGATGGGGCGCAACGCAACAACATAACAGATAAGGTTGATCCTATGCTATGACACGTTCGAATGCACCGACAATTCACGTATCACATTGGTTTTCATCCAACCACAAATCTTTACATGCATAATTCTACGCCATTGACGCCCTATAGAATTCTTCAATTACTGCGACTTCGAACTTATTGGACGACGGTGGTTGTCAACACCATCCACTGCGTACAAGGGAAACAACACACGAAACCCAAAGTGCCGAAAGAAATAAAAACTAAAAACGCACCAGCAGTCATCAGGCAGCCCTTCATGGGCGTGAATTAACTCAAAACCAGCCAGGGCACCAAATTATACCACCGCGGCGGCCGGTTCTAAGTAGCCACATCGTTCCTGAGAGTAGTCTGGATCACTCTCAAGATTTTCTCTCAGCCATGCTGTTTTTACGCACAATTTTGCTTCTTGAATCCACTTACGAGCACTTTTCGGTGATGTAAGCAAATATAGCAACTGCATCACCATCGCTGACATGTTCTCGGGCAGTCACAGCGCGCTTAATTGCAGCGGCCGATGTGACAACGATGGTCTCTTACGACGTTTTTTTCGTTTCGTGAATCGACTTACGCAAAAAATTTCTCTTGCGCAAAAATGTTTTCGTAAGTGAGCTTTGTGAATCCGGCCCCTGAAGATTAGCTAACACGGGTATTACCTCTTGTCGAGATATGAAAGGCTCCCATCGCTGCCCTGGCCGTGGTATCACGGCTTCTGTCCAAAAATATAGTATATAGCATAAATATAGTAATTTTTCTGTACAACGCATTCACCAATGTACGTTTCTCGTGAAAACGAGAAACGTACATGTCATGTCGTAGTATATGGGCGTGTACAGGGTCCTCATAGAAGGAGGCGAATGTTCGTCGCAGCGCCCCCCTCCCTCGCATAATCTGTCTAACTCAACTATAGGGCAGATTTAGTGATCCCTTGACAGCCTTCTCACGTGCCCATGCGTATAGTTCAATATTGAGGTCAAACATTCGTTTGACAAACCAACAAGCAACGTTAATCACGCAAAGGTGTCTTCAACCGAATAAACACACCACCTTGTATACAATGTAAAGATGTAGCTATGTGCTCTCTGTTGTAGTTTCAAGCATTTTCGCTGCCTGAAACAATGAAGTGATATTTCAAACCCTTCTTCCTATTGGAGTAACATTTTCCAACTATATTTAAAAGCCGTTTCAAGAAGGAGAAAATTTGTTCTGTTTCAGCTTCTCCAAACATCAGCTTATTTGCTCGGTAGCACGTCACAACGCTCTTGAAGACATCTTTAAGACGTTCTAAACTTGCTGAGACAACGAAAACTAAATGGCAATATAATGAGGTCAATTTATTCATAATTTTTTTCACACTTCTGCATCGAAACGTTTTAACTGGTGTTGCTTGAAAAGTAATAAAATGTTCTGCAAAGTATGTTGACATAGTTTCGTGTAATATCATCATTAAGTGGATGTATACCGTGATGCACCACACTTTACTTTTTAATAATTTGTGTTTGGCGGCTTGTAGAAGTGTGCAAGGTAATGCATTTTTTACTTAGTTACAAGAAATGTACTTGAGCAAAAGCTATACCATCTGCGCAATATCCTGCTTATTCTATGAGGCATATTTTGCAGTAGCCATAAATACATAAAAGATGGAAATGAAAAATGGCTGCTTTTCTACAGTGAAAAATTTGTAACCAGGTCAATGTTTCCTGTGGACCAGGGCTCAGCTGCAACGCAACGACAGGATTTCGAGCTCTGGATACTTCAACAATCACACTTGTAATAGCCTAACATTATTCAAACACTGATATCATAGCTTTTCCAATCATAGCAAAGCATACCTTTCGTTTGTCAGAAGAAGGCTGAAAATAGCGTACGTCCGCCAAATTTCGCTTAGATGATGTGATACAGGGAATATTTTTTTTTTCGCCGGATACTTTAGCTCTTCACAAACCACAAGCAATTACTTAGGTTATAGCAACTGGATTACTTCCTTCGGCGATTCATATTCACGGCAGGAGAACTGACACTAGAACGTGACAAAAAGCATATTCAAGGCAGGAAAACTGACATTAGAACGTGATGAAAAGCATTGGTCGAAAAAGATTTACAATATTTGTCTCTTAATTTTGTCCCGCGCTCGCTTTGTTTTTGCTTACCTACGTTAGAAAGCGTGACCGCGCGTCTATTGTGTCGTGCGGTGTTTTGTTTGAATACTTGAGCTGTTGCCTCGTTAACTCGTTAGCCTTTGGTACACTCGAAGACTTGAGCTGCGGCCACCCATTCTGGGATTTGTGTTGAACATTGGACACGAAAGAGAATGAACAGAACGCAAAGAAAGCATTGCTCAGACGACGTTGTTATTCCCTTGAGACCATTGTAACGATTCGTCTTTTTGCGCCTCAGTAATTGAATTACAAGAACGCCGGGCCCTCTGGGAAAGCACTAGAATGCACTGAAGCCAACAGCGGGCCTACAGAGCACGCTAGCAAGGCACTCATCATGCTGTACAAGAGCGAATATTGGCAACGTAGATGTGGCTATAGCTTGTAACATTATTTCGCGACCAAGCGTCTCGAAAAAAGTTGTGTGGTTGTAAAACATTACTTTGTTTTCTTTTTTATGACGGACACACTCATTTTAACCAATATTGATTATAAAGGGGGGGGGGGAGGGGGGTTAACGCACCAAAACCAGCACAAACTTACGAGAGACGCCGTAGTGGAGGGCTCTGGAAATTTCCACCACCTCGGGTTCAACCTGCACCCAAATCTGAGTATTTCCGCCTTTATCAAAAGTGCAGCCGCCGTAACCAGGATTTGATTCCCCGACCTGCGGGACAGCAGACGAATACCTTAATGACTGGACCAGCGTGGCGAACTATTCTCACCGAGCCTGGTCTTTCATGTACACCAACAAGCAAGAATACCGGGATATTGCATGCACAAACGAATATCGTAGTTCACCTACAAGGCTAAAACTTAGCTTAGTACTTAGCTGGTTGTTGATCAGACTGTAGAATTGCAAGATTAGCACGCTTGACCTGCTGTTTCAAGGCTTTCATGATTGACCACTTTTAATCAAGCGACCATGTTACGAGGTCTTCATGTGGAATGGGTTGTGTGACGCCGTAGTGACGTCACAATAGTCACATGGAGACGTCAAGCGATTGACCCTTTTGTATTGGCCATATGACTTGATATAGTGAAGTGATCTAATAATGATTATTTTTCTCATCACTCATGTAGATACCTACATTCCATTTTAGCATCTGAGGAGGCATCAATGCTTAGTTTCAAAGAAGGTCCATTCACACACCATTAGTTTGAAACGCTGGATAACATTCTGTGAAATATGTAAGAAATGCAAGTGATGCACAAAGACAAAAACCAACAAAAATTTGAAATTTTCATGGTCAAGCGGCATAAGTATAAACTGGATTGGAATGTATGGCATTGCTATGTAAAACTGGCAGTTGGGACAGTTCGTACGCATGCATTATTAAGAAAGCCTGACAGACTATAACCTCAGTAGACACTTGTGTTTACTTGTTTGCAGTCTTTCGGTATGTTTTTGTGTCAGAATTTTTAAGATGGTTTTAAGCGTCACCGAGAAACTATCGTCCCATATCACTAACGAGTGTATGCTCGAAATTAATTGAGCACATTATTCATTCACATATTGCGATGTTTCTTAGCTCGGTTAATTTCTTTCACCCAGTCAACATGGCTTCCAGAAGGGCCTTTCTTGCAACACTCAACTGGCTCTCTTCATTATTGACATCAGTTCTAGCCTTGACACTAACACTCCCGTTGACGCGCTATTTTTGAGCTTTGAAAAACCTTTTGATAAAGTACCCCATAACCGCCTATTCCCAAAGCTGTCTCGCCTAAACCTTCATTCCCTTGTTTTTCACTGGATACGTGATTTTCTGTGTAACCGTCAGCAATTCGTCTACGTAAAAGAACGCTCCTCTTCTCTCACACCTGTTACATTCGGGGTTCCTCAGGGAACGGTCCTCGAACCCCTGCTTTTTCTCATATATATTAAAAATCTTCCAACTAACATTTCTTCTA